CCCTGTAAATGAGGTGTTTGTCCAAGCAGACAGTCCAAAAATGAAGATTTGCCTGTTTGTCCAAACAGATAGCTCGCAAATGAGTTAAGATCTGAGGGCAACACTAGTTATCATTCAGATGGTCTGCACGTGTGGTAACTTTGAGGATAATGTTTCTTAAAATACACAAAGACTGGACCGAGGTAACATTTGAGGTAATAGTTTTCTTGATGCTGACTGTTTGATGTCTTCGTTATATGTTCCACCACCATTGGTATTATGCAAAGCACGCATGTATGATCCAGTTTTAACCACTTCATAACGCAACGTTGACATTTCTGTGGTCATCTCATATAAGATCCGCAATTTCTATAGGTATTGTTCTATCGAAACCGAAGAACTTGTTTTTGATGCGGAACTTATCACTAGCGCAGAATGGTGACGTAAAACAGCGCAGCAAATCGTATTATGAAGAAAAATTTTGAATAATACTCAGACGACATTTTTTGTCAGCGGTGGACTACGTCAGGAGGGTTGAAGGTCAACTGAGGTTAACCATTGCTATGCTAGTGGCTTTTGACGCAAGGTTTTGCTGTAAATTACACACCAAAGTACCAAGACTAGCCGGACATTTCGATGTGAAGGATCCCATGTTGAAGATGTTAAAAGAATGCAGTATAGTAATAGCTTGTAAGTGGTGCTTTTCCCATAGGCGGATCCAGAGCGATTTCCTGGGGAGAGGAAGGATTTAGGGGGCTTTCCCCTCCCTCCTCCCTTGTTCGTCACTACGTCGGAAACCGCATTCCGCCTTCCCTTCCCCCTCCCCCCGTTCCCTTCCCTCCTCGATTGCCTTGCTACTTCTCTTTTCTCCTCCCCCTCCCCTACCTCGAGCCCATCGACCCTAGCGAAAACAACCGGGGGAGGGGGAGAAAAGAAAGTGAAATTCCAGGTGAGGGGAAGGGGAGAAGACAGGAGGGGTGTCGAAGAGAGTTTCCTTCACTTTTAGCACTGCTAACTGTGCCACTGGTTATAATCGCATCGGAGAGTCTGGTGCGTTCCAGCCTGGGTTGCTTATAAGCAAATTCAAAACACATATTGTGACGACCCAGGTGTGTGTATGTAAGCACTGCTAACTGTGCCACTGGGGAGGGCAAAAGGCACACTGCTTCCCCCGGATCCGCCAGTGGCTGTTCCGTCAGTGCCTTATTGAAAAGCTTATCTCTTTTCGGACAGAGTGCCACGCATATATCCTTCTCGCGTTTCGGATGTCCAGTGATACATCAGTAAGCAACTATAATTCATGCTCTGGTTCTTTCGTTATCTAAGTTTTAACTTTTCCATTTGCATTTACCAGTACTGAGTTTTCTGGAGACCGGTTTCCTCGTGATCTTGATGTTCGTTTTGTTTTCTTTTGTCCACTCTGAGTTGGCTGTTTAAATTAGTAGCATAGGAGTTTTACGTCAGTAGTTCTGATCCTGATATATGCTAATTGTTTCTAACTAATACCATCTTCATTTTCAAAGCACTTTCTGGACTTTTTTTGGTCGAGAAAGGGGAGGGGGATTCAGATTTTCTTAAACAGAGGTCTTTATTTTTCTGACTTTTCCTAGAGGTCCTTTACTTTTTGACAGACTTTTCGCGATAAAACTGTTGAAAAAATCTAACTCTTTCTGAAGAATTCTTTTCAGCAGAATTCGTAGAATGCTATACGATTGATGGTAATTTGCTTGCTGTTTTAGTGAATGAAAGCTTTATTTAGCCAAGGTGTCCGCGTAGTTGAGATGATCGCAGTCAATATTGTTAGAAAATCATTTTGATTTTTTTCAAAAAGTAAAAATTACTTTGCAGGGACGGATGCCTTTGTTCAATACCTCCATTTTTCGAACTTTGGTTAAGCTCCGGAAACGAGTGTGAACTATAGCAATTGTATGCTTTCCTGCTCTCGCTGGAACTCTGGAGTAATTTTCTGAAAACAAAAAGGGATTTTTAATAAACAAAAAATATAAAAAATCACTGCTG